TATTTTAAAAAATTTTATATTGTTCCGTGATCATTCGGTCGGAAGGAAATAAAAATTAAATTTTATTCGTTGTCATTTTGCATTTGTGTTACATGATGAAGGACACTCGAGAAGAAATAATAGTATATCCCAGTGGTCATAAATCTGAGGTCCAGTAAACCTTTTAGATCTTGAAAAACACTGGCTGTCTCTCTATTATACAAGATGAATTTATTATACAGCTAGGTCTTTGGCTTTACGGGTTTGCTCATCCGTCACTTAATACTAGATGTTTTCCTTAGCTACACGTTAAAATATAAAGACTACGAATTGGGTAAATATTGTTTTACCTATGAAGCATTGAACCATACATTAAAAAAGTGAACACATTTTAAATACGTAATATCATAATAATTATTAATTTTTATTCTATTATTTTCAATAGTTTTGTCATTTTGGATGCATGTCATTGTATTTGTATTAGCTGTACGTTTTATAATTATATTCGCATATATAAAACTATATTGTTGTTCTAAATTAAAAAACATAACTTATATTATTGTTCATAATAATTCTGATACAACTATTATAATTATAACTATTTTTGTTAGCAGTATTAAAAAAATGTAAACATTCGATATATTTACTCTTTATCGTACTTTTAAATTAAAAAATAAAAATAAAAGAATATAATTTAAAGTAATTTATGTTATTTTATCGACAAGAAAATACAATGACGCACAAAATATAAGACACATTAAATAATGTACAATTATTGTAATTTTTATCAATAAAAACTTTAAATTTTTTATTTAAATAAAGAATAACCTAGTATTTTTTTTTTTTAATCATAAATGCTAAAAAAATATAACACAATAAAAAATATTAAAATTAAAACATAAATTTTAAAATAAGGTCATTCAAAAAATATTGTTTTTACACTATTAACCTAATGAAAATCGCTTTCAGTAAATAAGAAAACATATCAGTTGTTATAAACAATGAGAACAAAAGTAACCTGTTTCTTTACTTACTGAACACCTTGTATGTAACAGCGAATATTTATAAAAAAGCATTTATCGAAAATTCCGTATAGGTTTTGGTTGAATTCAATGGTGTCAATGATCTATTTTTGAGCTAATATGTCACTAAAGAAAACTAACGAAAACGGCTAAAACGAATTGCTTTTTTGACAAAAGATCACTTCTTCTCCATCTCAATTTCAGCCATGACCATAAAACTGTTCGATCATCATAATTCGTCAGTCTAAAAAAAGTTAGTGACGATATATCTACCAAGTAGAACACTCTCTAGGGAACTCTTGATAAAAAATAGCTAGGGCACCTCTCGCGTCCTCATAACGCAAAACAACTTGAATCGATTTCCCACATGATTGAAACGTTTCTCTGGACCTAAGGGTAACTCGATCTTCTTTTAATGGATTTTATAGACTGACCTTTAATATTTATGAAGAATTCGTAGTAAATATTATGTGGAAAAATAATACAGTATTTTTATGTTATCAAGTTTTGTTTGTTTTAATTCATGACCCGACTAACTTATATGTCTATATCATTTACAACACATTTTCTATAATATTTTCTTAACCAAATATAAAGATATTCTTATTAAAATTCTCTGCACAAAAATCCAAACCAAAGCGTCATTATTTGTGAAGGGTAACTTCAAGTTATTTTTTTCAAAGTCTTATATTATATTACCATTTGTGTGCTAATAATAGTAGTTAATAATTTTTTATAATTTTGTCATTATTACTATCATAATTTTTTTGACACTAGAGTATTATTTTAAATAAAGATTATACTTATATACGAATAAAACTATTATTACTTTATCTGAGTTTAGAAATTTAAGGGTTTTAGTATATTTAAACATGAAGTTTGGCACAAGTACACAGAATATTCGTTTAATGTTATTACTCAACTTATTAGATTAATTAGTGTTTAGGAAATTACACATAGTTGTTCGTTATATTGACAATTTTAAAAGTATTCTGATAAAATACTTTTACCACGATTAGTCACTATTCTCCAATGCAGATATTTTGAATCTTCTTTGAAATTCTAAAAAAAAATCTTTAATTTTCAATTTTTTTTTTTATAAATAACTTCGTTTTCATCTAGTTTCATAAATATAAATAAAACATTCTTTAGTATATTATTTTAAATATCATTATTTAACGAAAAACAAGAGATATTACACATAGAAATTATCTTGTATTGTAAGATTGGAAATAAAGTTGAATTTTAATTTATGTATGAATTCATTACTTAATTTCTTCAAGGATATAATAAAATTATCTAATATAAGTAGGAAAATAGATACAATCGTCACAATGATACATATTGGTTAAACCTTAATAACATACTTGCATTGAAAAAAATAAACAATAATTCTTTATATGCGAAAAATGTTCAAAAATGATCAAAAATGTCTCACACAACTCATGAATCTCGAAAAACTTCATTGAACGTTCATAATTCAATATACTTGGGAAGGATCACTGGAAGAAAACATCAATCTTGTATAGTTTTGGTAATGTTCCACAAGAGCAAACATATTTATTTTGTAAATATTCCCTTACGACACATGTAGTGCATCGTAGCCGAAAACTCAAGATAAAAGAAATTATAGATTTTGTGCCAATATACTTACTATTGATGTCAATTTTTGGCATAAGTTTAGCAATGAAAAATTACAGGCATAGTTATTATGGTTTTAACTGATGATTAGAACTTGTTTTTAATATCTATTTTTATTATATGAAACCCTATTGTTAGAGAAATAAATAGGACATTTTAGTTCTTTATTTTTAAAAAAAATTAACGTTGTAACTCGCCTAAAATGTCATCTCTTACAGAAAGGATTCAAGTACGACGTATATGTAATATTTTTCAGTCATTCTATTTTTCTCGGTAACTACTGAGGGTATATCTTTTTTAACCAGCTATAAATTTATATTATATTATGACAGTATGAAAATTGAGTTTTCGTTAGGTAAAAAAAGTATATTATAACTCTTTACTATTCCACGTTTATAATTTATTTATAGATAATTAAAAAGGTTTTGCAAAGAAAAATATTGTTTGATTCAAAAAATTATATAAGCAATATGTAGTTAAATGGATTCTTTTCATCTCTTTAGATATAAAAAAAACTTACATTAATTTTCTTAATTAAGAAACCTTATGTTTACCTTATGGGTTGATGCCTTTGATAAAGAACAAATTTTTGTTCTTACAATTTTTTTTATCCGATCAAGTATTGGTTTTTTTAAATAGTTTAAAGAATTGGATTCAAAACTAAAAGTCATCATTAATTTTGTTTTTTTAAAAACAATAATCTGTTTCGATTGGCTATAAAACATTTTCGTGGTAGTTATCAAAAAAATTTTCCATAATGGTCATTCAACAATATATCATAATACACTTGAAATATACTAGTGTGCGTCTATTAATAATCATCAATGTCTTCTGTATACATAAACAATGGAATAACAATAGAAATTTGGTATAAAAATATTTAACTTTAACACGCTGAAACAAGTTATGACTGTAGGTGAGGAATTGTTGCTACTATTTTTATCACTATTTATTTTCCGACCATACTCTTTGTTTCGTTTAGGTATAAAAATGAGAATAACATCCAAAATACTTATTCAAAAGTTGTTATCCATCAGTCATTTTCTTAGTTAGATAATTTTCTATTTTATAAGTTAATAAAATATGTATGTTCCCATGTCAACAAATACATTTGACATGTTATGAGGGATGATCCTGAAAAGTAATTATTAGCTGATAAAGAAGAATTATGTGAAACTCAAAAAAATCCAAAATTATTTTTCTAATATTGTACTTATTTTGTGAGTAATCGATCGGTTTATGATAAACCGATCATTCCGATCATAGCAAAGGNAAAAAATTATTTTTCTAATATTGTACTTATTTTGTGAGTAATCGATCGGTTTATGATAAACCGATCATTCCGATCATAGCAAAGGTCACATTTTTAAAATCAAAATGTTTAAGCAGTGTAAAACTTTAAAAATATTGAATTCAATTCGATGAACAACTCTTGAAGAATTAAAAAAAAAATTATTTCATCAATAATGGACATTTAATGTTCAATATGGATGTAATTAAACTAATGTAGCAATTTATTATGCAATTATTGCAGTTTTCCTATTTGTTTGTTTGATAATTTTTATTTTCCGTTAAATTCAATTAATCAGTAAAAAGCACATTGTAATTGTTGATTATTCTCTACCTTTCCAATTGATTTTATTAATTTAGTATCAATGAAAATTCACGAAAATAGGACCATACATTTATTTTTTCATTATATAAATAACGTGTTGATGCAAATAAAAAATAAATAAAATTTAAAAGGTAAACGAATCCAGTAAAATAGAAATAATTTTAAATATCCGAAGAAGCTAATATAAATAGTATAAATTTTTCTTATAAAAATGTAAAAAAATTGTGAAAATAATCTTTTAAATTTTTAAACAATATTTCAATTGTTAATTTCATAAATCAACGATTATTATCTGCTTATTAAAATGTTGGATGTTTTAAAGTTGGTGTGTGGTTACGATCTTAAGCCTACTTGGATTATGATACCACACAGGGTGAACGTACCGTACAATAAAGAGTTTGAAAGAGAGGGAAGGGGACGGCGAAATAGGGGTAAGGGTGAACGCGCAAAATGCGAGTTGTGTAGTGCAATAGACCGGCGGCGGCGACGAGAGTTATAAAGCGATGGCAATATAGAAGGGACAGGAGGGTTTCGCTATTATTTGGGGTTGCGCTCAACCGATCGATAGCAAAACCACCGAGAGACGGCCGGCTGGCCAAACAGCAACGACAGCGGCAGGCGCACGGTAACAGGTGTCGGCGTCGCGGGCGGACTGCATTGATCTCTGCGCCCTTAAATGCGCAAGCGCACCCCATCCCCTTCGCCACTTTGGTACCGACGCCGACCACCGGCAACACACCGAACAAGTCCGACTTTGCTCAACAAGTGTCTTCTGTATTGTTGTGCCCGTTATATCGAACACAACCGTTCCTCGCTGATCGGGCGCGCTCTCTTTTTTTACCTTCTCGTATGGTTTTTTTATTTTTTTAATTTCTATCCTACCCCAAAACATGAACTCTCTTCCTTAGGTCTATCGTCAAATCTGAACATTTCATATGTATTATTTTATGTTTCGGAAACGTCTCGGCTGTTTACTGTTCAGAAATATACTCAAAAGTTGAAGCAAAAAGTGTGCAAGCAAACACCATTAAAAGCGTCGACCACTGGAGTGCAAGACATCGCACATGACAGGTAAAAACCAATGAACTCGCGGTAATGCGTCGACAACGATGGCTGCAGTAGCGCATTGCGGCGCTAAAACACAAACAAGTGGTCGTAGCTGCGTTTCCGTAAAGACATATTTGTACGGAAAGCCTACGACGTCGTATTTGTGCTGTTTGTGAAAAATACTTATATTTTCATTACTATTGTTATATTGTTCTCGTAGTAGACAATTTCGCTGGTATAATTTTATTCGAAAACTGTTTTGCGATTTTGCGGAATAGCAACTGCCGCATAATTCCTCTTCTGTTCGGTAGGTTTACTGCCGACATGACGTTGTGGGTACTATAAGCGTTTCAAGCACACACACACAAGTTGAGGGTGTGGCACGTGGGCATAGAAATCAACAAAGGAAAAAGCATGTTTTCCCTACCTTAATAATGAAATTGCCAGCCCATAATATTAAAATTTATAATTTACACAACTTTTTATAATAATTTCGTTGAAAATTTATATAAAACATAAAGTTGCGTAATGAAAAAACATAAAATAATTCTGTATAAACTGAATCAATACAAATAATAATTGTTCTTCAATATTTGAAATTATTATACGTAAATATATATATATATTTCTTTAATATTTCAACTAAAAATGTTTTCATTAGCAATATTTAATTGGTACACATTAAAAATTGATGCAATCCTATTCTTAGAACAATCGAAAATAAATGTTTTCCAGTATTCATTTTATTGATGTTAAATTAATTTTTGTTTAAATTAGGTCAATTTAAACAAAAATTTGATGAGTTCCATCAAATTGGCAAAAGTTAAAATCTATATGAGCATTATTTGAATTTTTAGAAAAGAAATCCATGCGGTAAAATTGAATAATATTATAATGTTAAGGGTAGTTGACCTTTATTTATGTTTCATAACAATGTAATCATAGTTCTTTAAACAAACTATTATGAAGTATATTATTAAAATTAACCTTTTAAGAATTTATAGATTTAAATGAAATAAAAATTGTTTTTATCACAATTATAGCTGATCACTAAAAATTTTATTGGTTAAGCTGGCGAATATTTCGCGTTGAAAAGAAAAACAAATCGATAATTCTTTTTTTTTTGGTGCTGTAATGGCGGACGTATTCATTTTAAGACTATACCGGGATTTGTTTTCGGGTGGCTATGACCAAGTCGAGGGAAGGAAAACGTGAGACAGCGTAAGGTTTGGTAGTGGCAGTATAGCTAGAATTGTAAGGGGAGGGGTCTTAAAATAATCGTGAGACTCCAAGGACATTCAACACCCTTGGCAAGGGTGACGCAGTAGATAAAATTATCGAGGATTTCAGGAACGTTTGATTTGACTATAGCCTAGCAGGACCCTTTTCCCGGCATAATTTCGAAAAGAACCGTTCACACTAATATGACTGAACTTCAAATGAACTTTTCATGTTAGTGTTAAATGATATCATCAATATTATACTATACATTTTTATTTGTAATGTTTATGTTTGTAGATATTTAATTAAGATTTCTTATTTAAATGTAATCTAATTAAGAGAGTAATTATAATTGCTTCTAATTGATTAAATATTCATAAATAATTATTTATTTATCAAATAATTTTTATATTTCAATGATCTTTGAATATTTCAAGTAATTCTTCAATTCATAATTTAGCAGCAATCTAGTAAACAGAATTTTTGAAAATTTAAAATATTTGAAAATGGTAAATTTAATTTGTTCAGAGGTGCCAATAAGCTGTTACAGAAAATAAGTTTTTTGATCATTTCCAACTAATATTACATAATTAAACTTTTAATGTCTTAAAAACGTTTTCTAGATTGCAAATAAAATATAATTTAACGTCTAGCTATTGCAAAATATATTTTTGTATTTTAGTTTAACGTTAATTCATTTATAATAGAATACGAAGTAAATTAAATGTTTTTTATAGAAATAATTAAATTTTATGTTGATTTTATTTACTTTAATTTTCATCTATTGGACTTATTATTGAGTATTATTTTCTATCATTGCATACATACATTTAATTGATAAGAAAATTATAACAAATTAATAATAATAATAAATAATAATAATAATAATAATAATAAACTTTGATTACATTCATTACTAAACTTTAACTTTAATGGAAACCTATTTTTAAGTGCTATTATAATGTAACTATCGAAAGGAATCAATTGAACATTCCCTATCTGGAAACTATATTTACATAAAAATAGTTATTAATTTAATTAATAAAAATATTTTTAACTTCCAAGTACCAGATCAAAAGTCTTATCAATAAGTCCTTTTCTTTAATTGGATTAATTTCTATTATTTTAGGTAACAAATTATGTATATTTCCATTAAAAATAAATAGTTAATTAATAATAACATAAAATAATAGTAAAGAATAATATTAAAAATGAATAAAGAAATAAATAAATACTTCTAATGAAGCTTGAACCTATACATTTTTAACTACTTGTAAATCAAGAAATAAATACTACTTAAATAAGCTGAAAAAAACTTATAAAATTATTATTTTAATAGAAATCTAGAAAAATCAATGATAAATCAATCACACTGAATTTTATTTCTAAAACAACTGACAAAATAGTTTCAACGGTTTATGAATAATTACACAGAAATGGATCTGAAGCGTATCAGTACTATAAAATAAATTATTACATTAATTACTAAAATAATTGTTAAACGCCATAAAACAATTACCATTGACAAACATCCTATTTATTTTTGTTGACTAAAGCAAATGGAACATTTGAATGAATTTAATTATGAACATGCATTGAAATAACTTTCCTGGTAAATAATATGTGTTTTGAGCACTGACCCATTTGAATCATTGCCAAGTTGCTTTTACCCCATCGTCATAAATTTGTGTACCATATTTAGCAAATGTACATATAAACTCACAATGTGTTTATACATGATCCAAACGGATTGTTATTGTTTACTCGGTCAGCAAAGCAAATCTCGGAATACTGTAGTATCAAATATATAAATATTTGAAGTGAATATTAATAATTTACTGATATCATTGATAAATTAGATTAGACTGTATTTGAATAAATTTAAGGCTAAGGCAATGTTACTAATTTTACTATTTATTTTTAATAGTATATATGATAGTACAACTTATTCATACAGTGTATGATAATATGAAAATGGTCTCAACTGTTCTAGTTGGAGAATTTGTTATCTGATTTCTACTTCATTTCAAAATTTCTTTAATTTTTGTTTTTGTTTAATCTATATTTAAATAATTATCCACAAATCACAAATAAAATATCCATGAAAAAATGTTATAATTTTTTTTATTTTAGCTATATATTAAACTAATTTAAAATTATTGTATTTTTAGAACAACTGCCCTTTTGCAAGACTCAATCTTCTTCCATGAAAAACTCTCTAATAATTATATTGGAAAACGTTTTCTATGTATTGTATTGTTTACAAATGGGTGAATAGAAAACTTTCATTGTTATATTGAAGTGGAGTAAAATTATAAAAGGAACAACCATATAACGAAAAAGATTGAGTGGAAATACAAAGGGTAAAAATTTTAAATATAAAACAAAAAGCTCAAATTAAATCCAAAACCGGAAATACCAATGAAAATTAGCAATATACGTATTTAGAATTAAAGCAATATTTCAAGAAAAAAATTAATGCAAATATCTTATTTGGAGCTCAAGCTATAGCTTTAAACCTGTTATTATTTTTATATTATATTTTTGTCATATTATTGAAAATTTGTGATTATCAAGATGCCCCGATGTTATATGGTAAAAAAATTGGGACCAAAACTACAAAATACTTTTACTATCAAATTAGAAAATCGTTCGAGAACAGACACTGAATCACCACCACCGTTTACTGATCCAGCATCAGTTAAAATGTACAAACCACTGGAATCTGTTGCTATATCAAAACATAAAGGTAAGTGCCTCCAGTGTTATATTTTAAAAAATTCATCTAGCGATAAGCATGGAAAAATTAATTTAATTTACTCGTAAGTCATGGCTTTATACTTTTTAGATACATAAAAATTGAATATTCAGTCCACCGCGGTAAAATTATTATTTTGTCTAAGTCATTAAGTGCATTCATACTTTTCCTTTCTGATATAGTTCACATTTTATCGATTTTTAAATTTTAAAGTTCCCATGAATATATTTTTTATATCTTGAGCAGTTATTATCACAGTAAATATTGCAAGTTTCTGAAAATTGAAACAAAAACTACTGCTTTTTGAATTTTTTTAGCTTAATAGACATATTATAAATTAAATAAACATTTTATTGATATAAAATAACACATCATAATTGTCTAAAAACTATTATAAATAACCCTTTCTGATAAAAAGATAAATAAAAAAAAGAGGTTTTTTCATACATCGCGTGTCATCGCGTAACCAGTTACTCTGGTTGATGAATGTTAGAAAATATAAAATGGATTATTGATCAAGTTTTCTTAACTTTCAAAGACATGACAAATTGTGTAAAGTAAATTTAACAGTAATAATGTAATTGTTAATAGAGTTTACTTGCGTGTACTAAAATTATTTCTTATACATTGTTAATAAAAAAAAGATCTATTGTTTTCATGACCTTCTTATTAATGTTTTGAAAAATTTCTCTTGTTTAAATTTACAAATAAATAATTTAGTAACATTATAATTTTTAATAGTGAGACTATTGAAACCTCAACAATTAGAAAATTAATGTATAATTTTTATGTCATCTCAAAAAATATTGTTTTTAATATGATTTCTAATTTTTTTGAAATGGCCAATTCATTTTTAAGATGTACAATAATTAAATATGAAATTAAGGGAAAGCAGGGTAGAACAATATTCTTGGATGAAAAAAAAAATAGTAATGTTTGTGAATTTTTTATGGAAATACTTTTAAATATAATAACCAAACAATGAAAAATTTTACAAAATTAATTTAAACGAGCCCATGTGTTTATTTTAAGTGGCATTTAAACCTTGTAAAAATTATATACAATATAATTTTTTAAGAATGATACATTCCATTTTTAAATTAAGTAAAAATTTTATTTATTTTTATTAATCATAGTAAATATAAAATTTATTGTAAAAAAAAACTATTTCTAAAAGTAGATTTTAAAGGGTAATTTTTGAAAGTTGAATAAGAACCTATTATTATGTTATATTAATAAATGAAGAATAGTCTAAATAAAATTTTGTTCGGGTCGATAGCCAGTTTTGTATTATCACATTTTCAGTTATGAATTTTAGTTATAGGCAATAGGGGTGCGCATAGTCAATGAATTCTTATCTCCTCACTTTATCTAAATCTTTGAATAATAATATCTCAAAAAATATTATTGTACAACTGGAACCGACCAGTTTTACAATAATTCTTTCTTGAGGAACGGAATATTGTTTAGCAACGCTCTATTTTTACCATAACACATGGATAAGAATTCTTTAACGCTGTGCACATCTCTCACCTGTAATTTAAAATTACAATAACTCAAAAAGTAATAATACAAATTTTAAATGTTGGTTTTTTTTTTATTTGTGTATGAAATTTGTCTGCTTGACCCAGACTAGACTCAAAATGTCGAGTTTGCCTTTTTTTAAATATAATTAATTAATGAGATTTATTGTTTGGTTTGAATATATCAAGTAGTATTTCTTCAAAATTTTCAGTGTTTACAATAAATATTTTGAAGTGTTCGGTCTATAATTAGTCGTAGCAGTTATTATTTATATACGACATATTATTTTGGTTAGACGGTTAATTAACCAACGTTCAGCGCTTAATAAAAAAGTTTCCTAATTTAAAGTATCATAATGATATTTTAAATAGTCAAGCAAAGTTGATTTCGATGTCAACCATGTAAAACTTATACATATTTTTTAGATATTTTATAAAATAAATATTAGGTGTTATAAATTTACTATTATATAACTTACATTTTCTACTAACATGGCGTAAAATCATACAACTGAATACTGATATCTCCCAATTTAGGATTTTAAAACTTGACTAACATAGAGAAATTTAATAACAATTAACATAGTGATACTGAAAAAAATGAGTATATCGATTAAGAATTTCGCTTGTTTTTATTAATTATTACTGAATTTAAATAATGCGCAATTGTGCCGAGTATCGTAATAGCAAACGACCTAATGTAAAATAAAAAAAAAAGTATAATCCTTTAGAGTTCTGGTAATTATGCCAGTAGTGGCCATTGTGTACCATCGATGGCAATCATTTAAACTGGCTAACGAAATAACCAGGCGCATTTTACGTATTGGGATCTAAGTGGTATTTAGTATTGAGTGGGTACGAAGGGTACTACCCTTACAACTCATTGTTTTTCATTTTAATGTATAATTTGAGTGTCCTAGCACACGGTTTGCATACACAAAAGGGTTGAAATCTCAGTCATCAGTCTATGTTTGTTCTCATATCTGACCCCTACGACCATCGAGTCATATATTTTGGAGCTTTTTTTTTCCCAATTTATGCTACCACCTTTTCGTTTTCAGATTACTCATAATGTGTGTGCGCGTACAAATGTAATACGATTATTATTCCACCCGTTTAAATGTATATATTAAGTTTTATGTACGCGTTGTTGTTGTTATTATTATCATTATTGTCGCGTTGTTGTAATGTTATTATTACTATCGCTGCCTTTATTATTCGTTCTTCCCGAGTGTGAGCTTAAAGAACGGATAGAAATTCCATAGCCGAATAAATTTTGTCGGGCACTCTTCTCCTCCGACCATTTCTCTTTAGATTCAATGCGGTATTTTTCATAAAGCGGTACTGTTGTAGTTGGCGACGCATTACTACAACTTGCACTTTAACTGTTCTAATAAGCTTAGTAACAGCCCTTTACTCAAGTTTCAATGTTACTGAAAACTGCATATTATAACAATAAAAATTAAACGAAACGTTTGTCTCATAAAAATACGTTCCGTTCTTTAAAAAAATTATATATTGAATTGATGGAGCCACTTAAATTTACTATTACACAGGTTATAATAATTTAATACCAATGAAAATTTTAAATAATATTTTTATTTTTTCACTAAAATCTTAGAGCTACTTCTTTAACATATAATTATCGAATAAAGATGTTTCAATAAAACATGAAACATTTATATTCATTTAATTTGCCATTCCTATTTTTAGAAATATGTAGTATGTACAAAAAGTTTCGATTAAATTACCTAAAAATAATAGTAAAAAATGATACTATGTTTTCCATTCTAAAGTTGACAGAATCATATTAGATTACTTTATTAGATTCAATATTTTTTTTTATATTATATAAATTATATTCAAATACATTAATATGAGGTAAACTATTCAATTATTGGCATTTTGCATTGAAAATTTCTGAATTAAGAATATTTTGTTTTTTTTTTTAATTTTATGAATCGATATTCAAAATGTGTACAATTGAACTCATTAAAAAATGATCTAATAGGATACAAGTAGAGTAGTTTTAAATATAGTAAAGTCTTTGATAAATACACACGAGTTGCGTATTCAATTTCACGTCATTTTGTGTGAACAATGCAACTTATAGAAGTTTTGAACTCATTATTACCGTCACTATTTCAAATTTTATATAAATTTCTCTTTGATAAATATTTGTCTTCGTAAAATTAGTGCTAATATCCTTCTGATATTTCTTCCATTAAGTAGGCATATTTGTTATGTATACAATGACTAGATGATTATCAGTGTTGCGTCGGACAAAGTATTCGAGAATTACTCAATTCGTGTTCCAAACGCAAATAAGAAACATCCAAACATAAACAACGGGTTTTCCGAATAATAACGAGCAAACCTCCAAAAAGGTTTTTTTCGTTATTATTTGGCCAATAGTATATGTTTTTCCGCTGTGAACATTTGGCAAACAAGTAGAGCAATGCACGCTGGTATCGACCACATGGCTGCAAACAGGAAATGGCGTCGACTTTAAACAAGCTCGATGATTCTCGCATAGTGCATCGAGTATTTTCCCTAGCTTGACTCTTACCTACTGTTATTGTTCATGTATTTTCCATCCTGTCCCTAAACTTTTAACACGGTTCGTTTAAGTCTTACGGCACTCAATCAAGACCACTTTTATGTGGCAGTAACGAGTCCGCATGTCGAACCAAGTAATTTTTTATTTATTTATTTTTCGTCAAACGGTTTTCAGTTGAATGAATGACTAAATACAATTAAGGTTGTGAAATGTTAAAACGAAAATCTTGTTCGAAAAGAATACATATAAAACACAATGTGAATGCTTCTCTGGTATTTACTCGGCATTAGGCACGTGTAATCCAAAATAGAAGGAGTCTCGTTTATAAATTGGAAAATGTTATGACGTACATTCAATTCATAGTACTACAAAAAAAAAAACTATACTATTTCAAAAATGCTATTATGAATATAATTATTCGGCTAATATAATTACTTGTGTACTTAAAATTTAATTTAACTTATATTTAATCAAACTTATATTTAAACCTATATGGTAAGTGAAAAATGACAATAAATACGGAAAAATAATTTGACATAATAAATTCAATTGTACTTATAATGTGATGAAGATAAATATGCATTCCACGAATCTTTTAATTGTATAAAATATCCTATAAAGTACTGCATTTCAACGTACGCATAATCATACAACCGATGATATTAATGCAAATTAATGTTTTAAATTATATACTAAATTTTGATAATCTAACATGTTTCATAATTATTCTTAAATTTTACTATATAGTAGCAATAAGTAGTTTTATTTAATTAAAACTACATCTGAGCTAACATTTTATCTTGATATTTACTTTAAAGAATATTTTATTTTATGAAATTAATACAAAAAACTAGCTATTTATTTTTAATACATTTAATACATTTTTTCAACTTATAAATAAATTGTATTAATGATTTAAAAGTAATTGGTTCACTTTCATAGGTACGCGCCTTAGTAACAAATAACACTGTTAGATATTTTCATTATTTTCTTGATTTGTATTTTTCAAATTTTTTTGTAAATATACACGTGAATAAGTTGGCTTTTACTTATTATTCCTTTTCCCTTAAAGTTAATTATTCTTTGTAATATATTTAAATGCTCACTTGATCATTATATAGTATTTATGTTTTATATTGGAGTTTTATTGACTATATAAGATTTTAAGCTTTAGATGAATGTGAAAAATTAAAAAAAAATTTTATTGTACTACTTACGAATTATTAGTAATGGTACATTCTCCACAGGTTGCCTTTGAATCAACATGCGAATTCATCATGTTAGCTCCCTCATTTTATAGCTCTAAGCTGTCATTCAAAACTACAATACATTGAAAATCTCGTCGTTTGCACTTTATTATATATTTAATCATTTAAGCGCTTATAAAATCTTCTGCAATAATCGGAAGATTTAAAATATAAGCGACTGTAGTGTACACATATGTGTGCATTTAAAATAAATAGAGTCTATTGTATAATAAACAATTTTATTGTTTGAAACGTAATTATTGTATTTATATTGATTTTACAAAACATGAAATTTATCAAATTAATATGATAATTTTTAATTTTCAATAAAATGAGATAATGTTATACATATTTTCAGATTACTTAAAGTATTGTTATGAGCTAGACCAAAAGCAAATTTTACTAAAAGAAAGGAGTAAAGAAGAAACAGAGGCAGCACATGATTTGCTAGAACTTTCTCGGTAATTACATTTTTTTTCTAACAATAACAGTTTTATTTTATTCTTACTACAAGATTTTACATACATGTAATATTACACCTAACTGAAACATCATATGAAATATTATAAATTTTTATCTAATGAAGTTTATAAACTTTTTGTCTACAGATTGGAAAAGATTTAACTGACAACTTTTTTTGATTTTTGATTCTATAATAATTTTGATATAATTTATTTATTTAACAATTTTTTCATTATTAGACTACTCTAAAACATTTTTTTTAATTATTAATTTTCTTTCAAAATTTTAAAATAGTCATTTTTTAGAGTATTACTTATTAAAAATCTCGATGGGTCTATAACAACTTTAGGAAAAGTACTTTTCGAGTTTACAAGTATTTTAGTACATAAATTTGGTATGTAACACGAGTGAACTATGCTTTATAAATACATATTAGTACGAGTTGTTCATACCCACACTCAATACACTAAAATGCTTCTGAACTCAATAAGTACTTATCCTAAAATTGTTATAGTTCCATCAACATTTTTATAAGAAAATCTCTAAAAAATTACTTTTTTTTAAATTAAAAATACGTTTTTTTATTATTAAAAACTAATAATAAAAATTACGACGTAGATTAAGAATTAAAATTTTTTTTAAGAAAATTGCATCGAAATTGTATTTATATTAAAATTTATAATATCTGTCAGTCAAATCTGTTCCAACCTGTATATATTTACTAATTTATCTGAATAATTAAAATCTAAATGAAAAACGGAGTACGCCAGTGTTTATACTTTAGCGTAATGGGATTCTCTTATACCCTCAAATCTTGTTGCACCAACTCTACACAATAAACTTTAAAAATAATAGCAATAAAATTAAAAACTTTATATAAAAAAAAAAGTTGAATAAAATAAATTGAAAATAATATTGGTAATGTATAACTATAAAATAGGATTAATTTAGTTTTTTTTAAATATTACACAAAACTCTGTAAAAACATTAGTTTTATGACAAAATTGTGAGAAGAACATAATGTCAACATTTCTGGATATATTTTCAAAATAGGATCATAATTATTTTTTTAGATCGCTACCACCATTACCACCTCCAAGTACAGTTACAATAGCAGTGCCTACGCCACCTGAAACTCCTGTAGCTGTCGGAGATAGTGCACCTCAATCTCCCCAGTTTGTTTATGTATCAGCTGTGTCTATTCCTTTAACTCCTCCGACGTCAGAATACTCATCAGATGCTGAAAATACTCCAACCGCTACAGATATTACAACATCGGTATATAGTTTAACTGAATACATGATCGAGCGTGGTGATTTTGATCCACTGTTATCAAAAGATATAAATGCTAAAGATAAAAAAAACATAATCGCCAAGACATCAAATACTGTTCACAATAACATCAACAAAGGTACATTTTTAGGTATTTTTTCTAATAATAGTATTAATTGGTATTGTAAAAACTTATAAAAATTTTAATTACCTAGTAGAAAAGAAAATATGTTATTAAAAAGGTTATTGTTAACACCACTTGGGTCTTGAAACTCAAATCCAAATTATTTCTATTTTATATTCACAAAACTTACTGTATCAATTTGTGCGATAAGAGATCCCAAATGATTCCAACAGATAAGTTCTATAACATAACAAGGTGATCGGTTTAAGATAAAACGATCCTGTACAGTGATACCAACTACGTTGTATGGGTTAGGGTGTTGGGCGGTTAGCAAGAAAGTAGAGAAGAAAATAAGTGTAGAAGTCATAATAATGCTTAAATACCATAAGGAATGAATAAATGAGTGAAATTATAGGAGTATCGTTAATCGTGGATAGAATGTGGAATGATAGGCATAGATAGTTTGAACATATTATGAGTAGAGAGAAATTAATAGCTGTAAAACAGTTATGGGAATTAACGTTGAAAGAAGAAAAGAAAGAGAAAGATCGATATAATATATATAATTGGGGGTGATATGAGGATTTCGGGTATATGTATATACGATGAGGTAGATCGTGTTTATTGGAGGTTTAGGACATGGGTGACCGCCTCAATAGGTTGAGACAAATATGAGGGAGAAATATCCTACTATGTAAATGATATTAAAAAAAAATATGACAAATTGTACCACGAGTTTAATGTGTAGCAACAAAATTATAGATAATGAAACAACTTTATTTTGTATTACGGCATACAAATTAAAAAACTTAACTATATTCATAATGAATTATTTGATTAATCAAATTCAGTTCTCAATAATTAATATCTTCATAATGGCTGAATGTATTTCCAATATTACATTTCAAAATTCTAATGGCAAAATTCTCTTGGGTATTTAGGATATATTACATTAAATTACTCTATAGCATTATTCATTCAATTTATCGCCAAGTAACAAAGATTCGTTATTAATAATTGACTGATATATTTTAATGAATATTATTACATTTTAGTAAAATTGATGAAATTATACTTTAGTTTTAAACTTTAAAGCATTTTTTTTTTGTGTTAATCAATATATTTTTTATATGAACAGATATTTCAGTAGATAATTTAAGGCTATTTTCTATGAAAAATTTTGAATGAATATTATGATCAAACCTAAATGCAGGTACTGAAATAACAAAATGTCATAATTCAGATCGAATAAGAGTCGTTTTGAGAGAATTTTGTAGAGAATTATCGACGATTGTCTGTACGGGTAAATGAATAAAGTGTGGTATTTTAAGGTGGTTTATACATTTAGGTTTGTTCGACAAATATAATCAGTCCAACTAAGCTAAACCAGTCTAATCTAAATATTTTAAACTGCAAACTAATTAAACAATATAACTATTGATGCTATGATACATTATTATTTATTGGTAATATGTTTCATTTCATAAGTGTTTTTAGATTTTTTTAAAGTGTTCTTAGCACGTGCATATATATAAAAAAACTGATCATTCTATTTACGTATTAAAATCATTAGTTTTTATCAATTAATTAGCTCATATAATAAGCAAAAATTATTAGAAGTGCTCATAATAGGCTAAAATACCTATTGATTTGCATAAATACTTTTAAAAACCTACTGAAAAAATATTTATACAAATTTTTCTTTCGGCGTTTATTATTTAGTAAAGTAAATTTTTTTATGTGATTAAAAAAATAATTTATATGAAATAAAAAATAAAAAAATTATTAGATTATTAGATTGTTAGTTTAAATATAATAGCTGCATTAAATAAAGCTTCAATAAAATGGAAATATTTAATCTTAAAGGATTAAGAGCACAGAAAATGGAGTATTATAAATATTTTCTTTTAACAGTAGTTAAATTTATTTTATACAGCAAATAATACAAATTTATTTTAACATTATTTGATAATAATTAAAATATAAAAAAAACGTTGTAAACTAAGTTATAGGCTATATTTGTTGGACTACCTCACAAAAGTCATGCCCTGCGCTGATCATCATAAAATTTTACTGGTCATTTAAAATCAAACAAAAAAATAGCTAGTTTAATAGTAAATTTAATGACTTAAGGAAGATTTTTTTTGGCAATAAACAAAATGGAAATTCTTATAATTTATTTGCAAATGTTCAAAGAAACTAGTAAAGTACTAGTTTATTGTTTATAAAAGTATAATGTTTAATAAAAAAATTCTTCTATCAGGTATTAAGTTTTTATGCTTTCAATAAGCTGTATAAATTTAATTTAAATCACCCGTTGAGTGGTTTTTAAATTACTGTGCTCACCAACCATTGAGAGGTGGTTGGGTTGGGTTTAACATTTTAATGTTTGAAATGACACTAAAATACATTTATTTTTCTATTATTTTATAATAATTCCTAATTCAAACCTAATTTTAAAAGAATAATGTTTCCTTATAAAAATAGACAAATCAAATCCTTCGTATATCTTATTGAATTAACTATTTATAATATTCATCACTTTATACGTTTATTAATAACTATGAAATAGTTTGGTCGATTTTTTTTATTTATTAGAATGATTTATTATCCATTTTAATAATTTTATCCAAACATTTTATCACATATCCGTTAACTATTTATTTTTATTTCTATGAGTAAATCGTTGGGATGATTTATGGACATTTGTCATTGTTTTTGACTGGCATGTTTTTTGGAGACAGTTTCTCATGTAAAGCCATTTGTCTCTGTTCCTAATCATGACAATTGTTTATGGTATTCAAAATGATTCCACTAGAATGACGCAGTTTTTTACAATACGCACACCTGTATTTGAGTCTAAAGATGGGAACTTTCAAGATACACACAAATTTCTTCGAAATCGATCTCACCATTAGTAATGAATGTTAGAACATAGGAACTTTTGAAATATGCACCCTGAATGTTTTATAAACGAAAACTTGGCGTTATTCTAACATACATTATTTTTATATCACATCCATATTGTTTTAAATTGTTTTACAAATACAATATAAAACAATAATAACTATGGTATTTCTTACATTCACTAAAAAAAAATTAATTCAATACAGAAATTACATTATTGAAATACATTAATAAAGAAAAGAAACTAGATTTCGGATAAATATACGATCAAATTTAAATGAATATTTTTACTTATTTGATCCAAATAATGTATTTAAATTGTATAAAATAGAAAATTTCTAAAAATTACAGAAAAGCATTAAAAAGTTTTATTGAAATAGAAATTTAAATTAACAAATACTCGGACAAGATAACTGACCATTTTAAAGTCATATGTTTGTTATTGATACCTGTGAACGGCATTTTCAAACCAAATATCATAATATTAGCTTTTATTACAGAATATATAAAATGATCAATTGTGTCAAAAATGTATTTTTTAATAACTATTTTATAAACATATTTTATAGGTGTTTCAATATGATTATAACTTTTTATAAACATTTTTTAACTTTTAAACAGCAGAGTAGTTTCACAATTTATAAATGGATAATTTTTCGAGATTTCGAAATACTTTGAGTTATTAAATACATTTATTTTTATGAAATTATAATAGGAGTTAAAAACTTTATTTTAAATTGCTATTCATGCAATTATTTTTGATATTTATTATATTTGACTTGGGCGTCGCCGTTTTCCGCCAAAATGACCTTCTTCTCTTATCAGCGAGTTTATTTTCCGCCAAAGGTGGGTTTCCATTTCCGCCAAAATAGATTAAATAATTTACGTAATATTTTTTATGAACCTCCGATTTTGAAATGTTTTGTTAAAATGTATGTAATTGTGACACATTTTAATATTTACTTAAGGATAATACTGAAAGGTGTAAATATAAATAGTTTCAACACCACATAATCATACCTCTGGTTATTACTGTGTTTGTATTAAAGTAGTCGTTGAACATTTAAAATAGAAACAAAAATATTATTATTTCTGTTTAAAAATTTATTTTAAACTTTCGTCGTTTATTGCATTGAATTTTACTTATATTAATAATTAAGTTTTTACTATATTTTTGTTTTATTGATTCTGATGTAATATTTTTCCCTGATGACTCATATCATGCTCAACTTAGTATTTTCGTAGAAGTGTACTTCTAACGAAATTGATAACCTACCCGTAAGGACGGGCCGAAGAGTCTTGAGTCTGGGATGGAGCCTAATTACATCATAATACAACATTATAAAGACTATAAATTGATTTTTCCAACGTACTATTTTTTTGTTTTCTAATAATGTTATTCAGTCGTTCTTATTAAATATCAGTGAAACTATTTTAATCCGTCGTGGCGGAAATCGAACTTGCAGATAAGAGCGTAAGGTTTTTTTGCGGAAATATTATTATAAAAATTATTTTATTGTCAAACAGGTTTCTATAAATAATTGTCTTTATTTCTCAACAAAAAAAAAAATAATAAGTTTCGTTTCATTCGGTCAAAAATATATTAAAATATTTTCATTTTATAATAATTTATAACAATAATAATTTTCGATTTTGTTCGAAAATAAAATAAATCGTATCCGTCGTCAACATAACAGTGATGACATTAAAAGTATTAATAATTGTTGTTTGAACTACTTAGAGATAATGTTTTTAAATATCAGTGATACCCGTAAAATACCAAGAAAGTTTTTTCAACGTTTCCAAGTTGTGTTGTAGTATTGTCTCCCACTTAACTCTGCGAACATTAATTCATTTCGAAAAATGTTACATAACTTCTCGTTCCGAGTTTCTTTAATAAAATTTTCTTATCTGTTCCGACTACCTCTACTGTTTCTTTTGATTTCACTAGCTTATACAATCCATTAGCCTTCTTCTTTTTTCTCTGCTTTGCGAACTTACCATTTTTATTCCTCTAACGCACATTCGTTTTCATTTTTAGTATAAAACCGTTTCCACTACATTAGTTTTTCAGTTTAAACAGTGGCCTACTTTGATCTGTCCCTGGGTGCCTTGAAGTTTATTATAAATGCAAGAAACCTCACTCGTATAAATACTCTGTACACAACGCTTATAAACATTTTAATTTACAGTAAAATATTTTAAAGAAACAAAAACGAGATCATTTTTTATTATATATTTTTTCGTTTAATTAAAAAAACATAATCACGTCATTAAGATTTAAATCTTAATTACAACAAATCATCAAAAATTTCAAGTTCTATAGTTATAACGAATTTGCTGTGTCACTTTCTTGTATTCATTTTAATAAACCTAAAACCCCAAAATGTTTACACTCCATGTACGTGTTTGTATAATACACGGGACAAGCAAAGGGATTTAATTTTATGATAATTTATGCAAAAGACAGGCTATAGTAGCTCGGAATAAACCAATCACATAAATATATCATTCTCAACACAGACACTAATTTCAAAGAGTAGATAGGAAATGCATGTAGATAAATGTCCACTAGTTTTTATATAGTAAATCATAAAATATACAATTTATATTTTGTGTTTTGGAGTGATTTATGTATTTTATCTAAGGGTTAAATTAATTTTTTATTGCAGATATTAAATTATATATCATTATTATTCTATTTCTTATTAAAATCAAACGAGAAGATTTTAATGAATCATTTAAATATATATATATATATATATATATATAGTCTAATTATGTTGAATTAATTTAATATGAAGACTCTTTTCAATTGAATTCGCTCGATGTTTCTTTTATCTATTATTTCTTCGTTTTTGATTTTTTAACTAATATTCCCCATTTAATTGTTTTTTAGCGAGATATACATGTTCAGACTGTGGCAAGCATTATGCGACTTCATCAAACTTATCTAGACATAGACAGACCCATAGGAGTCTTGACTCTCAGTCTGCCAAACGGTGCGTGACGTGCGGAAAAGCGTACGTGAGCATGCCAGCCTTAGCTATGCACTTGCTCACTCACAAGCTCTCACACGCGTGTGGAGTTTGCGGTAAAATGTTTAGCCGACCATGGTTACTGCAAGGACACCTGCGGTCTCATACCGGTGAAAAACCGTACGGCTGTGCGCAGTGTGGCAAAGCTTTTGCTGACCGTTCCAACCTAAGAGCCCACATGATGACTCATTCTGGTGATAAGAATTTCACTTGTCATTGGTGCCGCAAGTCATTTGCTCTTAAGTCTTATCTCAACAAACATCTTGAAGCCGGATGTGCTCCAGCCTGTCCGCTGACTTCTGACATATCAGCCACTACTGACCAACAACAATTGGATAAAAGTTTGGACGAATAACGGTGCGCTCAGCAGCCACCCCAGCGAACTTCTGTTATACAGTTCGCCGCTGTGGTCGCTGCAGACGATTAAAATGTATTAATAAATTTATGACCTAGTAAAAATTACATTAATTATTATGTTGAGTGAATATATATATATATATATATATATATATATATATATATATATATAAACAATGAAACTGCGATTGCTGTATGATAGTTAATAAAAATGAAATCTTTAATACATAAAAAATTAAAACATAGAAAACTGTGACACCAAAATACATTGAAGTTATTTTGATAATATTATTATAATGGATTATTATAAATATAGTAGTTTTTATACTTAAAATAGAGATTTAGTTTTAAGTATGATAGTTTTAAAATCATTGTGCCTAATATAATGCGCTGGTGGTAGTGTAAAAGCAATAAGAGTAATAATTTTGTTTGGGTAATAGACTTGTATAATTTTAAACATTTTAATTATTAATTTATATTACTTAATCAATTTTTTATATTTCAGTTTAATACCGACCAAGACAAATCTAATCAATATACAATTCGATTAAATTTTTAAATATTTTAAATTTTGGCTTATTAAAGTGACAGTTTTGCTACGGTAATATTTTTTACGTAATTTTAAAATTAAATTCAAGTACTGACTCATATATTTTAGTTGGAACAAAGTTACGTACAAATACTTTAGGGTCAAAAGCAATGAACAAGAATTGAATATTTTTATTAGGCTGTGATTTTTAATTATACATTGTCCATATGATCATACAAAATTTATTTAAAATAAAAATTTTCATATGAACAGTACTAAATATTCAGGAATAATTTTTTATGAGTGGTTTAATTTAGAAAAAAAACCCTGGATTTTCTTTTAATAGAATACAGTAAATGTTTTTTTAGTCGTAAATGTTGTTTATTAATTGTTTATTAATATAAATTGTCTTTGAAAAGTATTTTCTACAAAACAAAACTACTTTTGTTCGTTTATTGAAAACTAATATGCTACTTTTATGTTAATAGAGTAATTTTTTAATTTACCAAGTTGAAAATTACTCTATATTTACACAATATAATTATAAAAATATATTTTTTTGAACATTAACTAACAAAAGCTAAGTAAACGAATTTTTTTGTTAAGAAATGAGAATTAAGCTTAACTTTATCAAAAACTCCAAATTAAGTTCGTTAAATTAATCTAATTGTTGAAATTTCATATAAATTTTAAGTAGGGAACCAAACAATAGTTTTTTATGACGTATTAAAGAATTCTGTTTAAAAAAAAAATTTTTTTACATATAGTTAAACATAGTGTTAAAAGTAAAAAATTTCAAAAATATTATTCTCTTACTTTTCAATTGAAATAATAAACTGATGAACTTGACAAGAGTAAAGATAAAACGAATTTTAAATACATAATGAAATTTTTGAATAATTGTTATTTTTGTCTGTATTTGTATTTAAAATATATTCACAACATAAACACTTTTGCTTGGAGTAAGAGCAAGGTAGTTTAGCTAGCAAACTTTTGATATTAATCCGTGGTGGCATCTTATTTCAAAACGAATCTGACCCGTTTCTTGTCTCAACACTTTGAGAAACTATTTAATTAAGTTTTCTGAGAACTTTCTTCCTATTTTCAATGATTTAGTCCACTTCTTGGCACTAATATTTTAAGTAGTCTTCGCAAAAATCAAAATAAATAAGTATAATAAAAAATACCATACTGATAGTTAAATAAAAGTTTACGTTTATAAAACACATATTCACATAATAATGTAACAGTTAGATTAAAAGACATATCTCATGTTTAAAATATTTATTTATATGATATTATTTGTGAAACAAATTGCAATAAAAATACTCTCAAATGTATAGATTAAAAATATTTATATTGGAATGTACTACTAGAAATGTTGGTAAAGTATTGAAAATAATGTGACATATATGTTATAATTAAAAGTTTTTTTTTTCTTTTAATCTGATAAGTATTAACATTATATGCGATAATAACATTTAGCCATAACTTATAGACTATAACATATAGCATATAATAGATAATTGTATTAAATATATTATTTATTTAGTGTAACAGATATAACAAATTTAGTAATGTCATCATCATTGTATTTATTAATTATTGCTGTTTAACTTGTAGATAGATATTGAAACATGATTTAATAAGACTATAACTATTTTTAATGCTCAATATAAATTTTAAAATATTTAGTTTTTTACAACATACAATTATAAAAAAAAATTGTTTAGCTAGTTATTATTATTAGAGGTTTGTACTTTTTTTTATGTACTAGTTTAGATTTAAAAAAAAAAATTTTGTAATAATTTTTAAGTAAGAGAGCTAATAGAATTTGTATACACTTAGGCATTTAGAGAAGATTCAGTTTAAAGGGAATTAAGAGAAGAATATTAATTTTGGTAGATATAACTAAATATATTTTAGCCAACCAAAATTTGCTCAATTAGATTTCGAAATATTAATATTGTTGAAATGCTTAAGCTTCACAAGTCAAATAGGACTTGTGATAAATAAGATATCATGTATTTTATATATACTATGGAATATATTATATATTCGACGTCTCTTATTCTTTACTACTATACTTATCATATTTGCGGTATTTTTCATGTTAGTTTGAACATTACAACATTTGTGAGCACAAGACGCCAACGTATTCGAAACTCGAAGTCATTCATCACAAAACAATATAATATATTACATATATTATACGCAGAGGGGGTAGATTTTTGACAAAACGTTCACTTCCCCTGATCATACACGTACCGCTACCGGATATTTCTCTCCTCTATGGTGTTCCATTTTCTTTGACGTTTTGTATTATACGCTATGTAAATAACAGCGCAGCGTCAACACGTAGCGCTTTCCGGTTTATCACGAAACGAAAATAGGAGAAAAATGGTAATACTACATTCTAATTACTTTCTTTGGATGGGATTGTAAGACACCAAAAAAATTCTTCTCTTATATCTTACTCCTTTATTAGTAGCTGATAAAATTAATTATTTTTTTATGACCTTTTACTTTCTAGTCACTACATTAAACTCTAGTCGCTATTTATCTAGTATTTTTATTATATTTTTGAGGCAAAAGTAAGCTCATTTTTTGTAAAAAAATTCTTTGTTTACTAAGTTTTAGATATTTTCCTATTACAAATAACGTTGCGATTTATATTTTATCGAAATCAAAGTTTTTAACGATGTATAATTTTACCATTGACTAAAAAGATTGAAATTAATTTAATTTAAATTTTAATGTCTTATAAAATAATCAATTTATTAACTTATAACATAATGTACAATGAATAATCACCAATAAACAGTTGCTATAGAAATATATTTGATAAATACATTTTTTAAATGTTGAGGAACTATAGAAAATTTTTTTGGCTACCCACCAATAATAAACAGAAAAAAGTAATTTTTAATAAATTGCATATATTAATGTTTTAAAATCTTCAATACAATAAACTAATTATTATTAAAATTTGTATTCAATGATATAGATGCTGTATTTTGAAAATATAAACTTTATTTACCCCAAGTGTAACTGGACCATCGATGTAACGAAAGAAACAAATTACTTTGTATGAAACGCAAATCTATTAAATAGTTTTTAGTAAATGACTTTTTGAACATTATCCCTATTATATAGAATTTTATTATAATAATATATTAAAAAAGGTATAATAATTTAATATGTAATATATATATATATATATAATAAATCCTCTTGGCAATATAACAAAGCAATACTTAATGTAATTTTTTTTAATATTGTTTTCATAATAAACGATTTTAGTTTAAAAAATGTAATTGTTTTATTTGTGTACTTCTAATGTAAGCACATCCTACAGCGTAAGTGAAAAAGTAAAATCAAAACGTAAAGTCAGTGGTGTCCGTTCTTTTGTGAAGGACTTTGATTACGGTGTTGTAAAACCCTATTTAGAGATCACGAGATTTAGAGTTTCCAGTTCAAAGCTCCACCTTGGAACAAGCTTAGTGGACAAGTTGTCATCTACATAACAATGGAATCGGGTATTACAAAGTTGGCCCTTTTAAACTCTGATTTTGATGTGGTTTATGGCTGAGGGATCAAATATATATTATAATGTTATGGGACGCTTAACAATTTTATTTATGTCCTCAAAATAAATCGTCATAATAACTCAACAACAATATCCATCGTTGATACTGTTGAACAATAGTTAATTCATATCTAAATAATAATATTTGTACTAAATCATAAGAAAATATTCTTTGTTAATAATATAATCGATTTAAAATTCTATAGTTTTGTTCATTCTAAATATTTACAATAGATAATTGTAAATAAATGTAGTTACTAATTAAGTAACCCCTTCACTTCTGGACCCACAATTCAAATCTTACTAGACATTTTTTAATTAAATTTTTATGTCTTAGATTTGATCACAATTTATTACCAGCCCATGTTTATTTTGATCTCTAAATTCTTTTTATTTTTGTACTTTCACTATAAGTAACATTTATGCAACATTTATCTGTATCTCTTAAACTGTCCTTAACTGTCTAAAAATAGAACTGCGTTAGTTAATTCTTAGTTCTTCATAAAATTCATACCCTTTTTCCCGATAACATTATACAGTCTGAATCTATCATAACTATTAATTTTATTATTTTCTTTTACCATTATTTAAAAAATTAAATGAAAAAAAAAAGTTAGTTATGTAGCTTCTTAATCATACTCAAAATAGTTTTTGTACTTTTTAAACCTTGAAAACTTACAAAATTTATTATTTTTTTAGAGTTCTATTACTAATGATTATATATTATAAAATTTAAAATAATTATTTTCTCACATGTAAAAACAGTTAAACTTAAATATAGTTAGGTTATAATGTAGTTCAATTACACTTTATATTGTTGCATAAGTATCGATGTTAAATTTTGTAACACTAACAAATAACACAGATATTTTTCTATTTTCTATCATACATTAGTTTAAATTTAAAAATGTTTTATAGCTACTAGACATATTATGTATATATAATTATGTAAGCTATTTGAAAGTATACTTTTATTAAAACACCTAACTATCAATAACAACTTACGAATATTGATATTAGAAAAATACCATTAAAAAAATTAGAATTTGAAATTCAGCGTAAAACCAAAATACTTAGTGACAACAATTATCAAAAACTACAAATGATATGGAGACAGTATTGTTACGGTTAAGTATTATTTCCGCTCTATAGATTGCGAAACGAGCCATTCATTAAAGCGCTAAGAAATTTCAGCATAGCAAAGGGATGAATCGTTGACCTTTAGTCTTTTTAATGGAATATCACTTAAAAACTTTTGAATATTACTCCTTTTCTTATGCCGTACTTGTTCTAAATAATGTAAACGATTTTAATTGAATAAAATTATATTTATAAACAGTACAAACTATGCATTTTTATATAAAACTACGGTTTTTACAGGGCTTTAAACATGTTTAAATCTCAAAAAAATTCAAAATTTACAATAGTATTATGGGATATTTTAAACGTTTCAAACTGTTCACTAATGTTTTAAACATGTTTTTTTAAAAACATGATTTTTAACAACTCCGTTTAGATCTGATAATACTACCAATACAGAGTATTCAGAACGACGAGCATAGCAAACATTTTATAATAAAAGCATCATCATGTGCGAAAATGAGCATAGAATTGTTTTAATTTTCTCCATTATAGTCGGATATAAACAAAAACAAAGTTTCATCGACGTCTCTCTGGCGACTAAAAGGTCGGCACCGTTGAAAAAGAAAGAGAAAAAATGTGCACAATAAAAGACAAGTTTTCTTTTGGACTCAACGAAGAATTGTTTATTTGAATAAAAGAAAAACGCCAGTTGTGCAGCTTTTAAACGTATAGAGAGCACCGCGTTTTATTTTTTTTTTATACTTGTACACTCACACACACACACGCTCACATACAGTTTCTCTGTTTATCTCCTATAGTAGCTATATCCTTTTGAATTTTTTTGTCATTGTCGAAAACCGTAGATGTACAAAAAGAAATAGACGGAGGGAGGAGTTTTCGTGTATCTATGTATATATTCATATTTATCGGGCTGGCGCCATTCCAGCGTGGCTGTTGCTGTTTTGCCCGAGCTGTGTGTCTATGCGAATTATAGCTTCCGAAAAACGAATGTGACATGACCGAAACCTCCCTTTGCTGCCTTATCAACGTTCAAGTAAGATTTCGGTGGTAAACCTTTTAAGAACTTATAAAAAGAAAAAACGACAGTAGAAAAATATTAAAATCAGCAACTTAAGCGTGGACGATGGATTAATGCGAAAACGTATCCGTTTCTACATTTAAGGTGACCCTAATGCAATAAATATTTCAAACATATTTTATTTTATAAAATTTAGCTACATGGTGTTGAACATAAATTCAACTTTGAAATTTAAGTATTATCAGAAATACTGTAGCATAACACAATTAATCATTTGCTAATATATTTTTGACGTTACACTATTAACTAAAATAAAAAAAGTTGATAACAATCAATATTAATATTAACTTTTAATATAAAATTATTATATTAAAAAATTGCACGTACTATAATGTATTGATGCATAATAAATAAACAGGTACCATTTTTTTAATGACAACAATATTTAAGTTTATAAATATCCCACTATGTGTTGATATATTCAATAACTTTTGATCCAGAAAATATTTTACTAATATTTTTTTAAAATTAAAACCTAATCCAAATCTATAAAAATTATTAAAAAAAAAAGTAAATATAAATTAGATCAAAAATAAACAAAGATAAATATAGCATTAATATTAAATAGAAGTAGTTGCCATCATATTAAAATAAATATATTAAAAAAATACTCACATAACTAAGTAAATATTTTAAACTTTTATTATAAATTGAAAAACTTAATGATTTTAGGTTTTATCACTTGTATTGGTATCAAATTTTTTATTCTCGAATTCTTTTAAGCAAAACTATTTCAATGTAACTAACATAAAATAATGTAAAAAAATATTAAGCGAATCAACGAGTTAATTGATTTGTATTTAATGAATTAATTTGCATAATAATTTTACAGTATACATTATAGAGTGTATACAAAGAAGCATGGTGCTGTCGGTGAATAATAAATTATGAACTTTGTTCGTGATTAATTGATTTGAAACCTTTAGAACAAACATTATTTTCAAATTAATTCATTTCCTAGCTTAGTGAACCCAACAAATGATTTGTCATGGAACGCAAACTATAAAATAATAACATCGTATTATACAAAAATCATGACTATAAAACTGATTGAAACAAAATTAAAGCATGTGAATGATAAATGCTTATCAATTGAAGTTGTTCGATTTATTTATGAATTAAAAATAATTACTTTAACTCTATATCTGTACAATTTCAAACAAGAAAATCCAATTGAAAACAAGATTTTTTTAAGCTTTAACTAACCGATCTTAAAGATCATTAACTAGCATTTATAATGTTAGTTATAAAGTGTATCATTTTATAGTTCATTCAAAAAAAAAAATTCATTGAATTCCCTTTTAATGGAAATTATTTGATGATATTAATATTTATGCGAATATTCAAGAACTTGTAAAACTGATCGCTAAAAATTATGGCCATGCTTATTTCCAGTAGCATAATTAATATTTTACAATAGTAAGAAATAGAAAGAAATAAAAATTGAGTATAAATAATGTGGCGCCATCTTAGGGATAAAATAAATTTCGGCTTGTTATTCTGTAAAAATGTGGCTTGACTAAATTCAATTAAAAAAACTTTTTTAACAATTGTAAAATCAATTAAAAAAAATGTACAATGTAATAATTAATTTATAGAAACTCTTTCCATTGTGTACTTGCATTTAACATTTATTATGACACTAGTTATCATAATATTAAAATTAGTTTACAAAAAGTGTTCATACGTGCAATCTAATATTGCTAGAGGAAAAAATAACATTGAGATGTTTTGTTGTACCAATTATTATACATAACATGGGACTAAAAAAATGGGTGAAAATTTTCTTAATTATTTATTGTTATCTTTGAGATATATCACTAGTATAATTTGTGAAACACAGTTAATTATTTTTGACTTTGATAAAAAAGCTCGATAGACTAAAGAATAAAATTTCGACTAATAAATCAAACTTAAATGTTGTATGTCCATTAGTCATATGAAAATTATATAAATTAAAATCTTATTCAATAATTGTTTCCAATGTATGAACGTCAAAAACTAAATGCTTCGTTTGAAGAAAAAATTTTTCCTGTATTACTTTTTTTTATTAAAAATCTTATGATTATCATGTACATAAACTAACAAAACATATTTATATACGAGTTTTTATATTCAAATATCATAAGTAACAAATACAAAAGAAAATTGAAAATTTTAACATTTAATCAGACAACATTTTTTATTGACATTAAAATCGAAAAATTATATTGTATTATCGAATATTTTTTAAATAATCGTAAAATTTATTAAGCCAACATTAAAATATTAATGTCATTATGAAAATAATTTACAAAGAGAGTTTTAGAATTTTTTTGAGTAGTCCGTCTATTAATCTAATTAAACCTATCAGTACCAAAAATTAAAAAAAGTCCTCAATTTTAGAAATTTATAAAAATATCCCAAAATTACACTTCCTTAAAAAACGGCATTTAAAAACTAATATAACTTTAAGTATTGATCTTAATGATGTTTTGATACAATATAAAAGAGACAACAAGTTTTCTTTTGGTATGCTTTTTATAAAAGAGAATCTAACGGAAAACTCTAAGTGCATGAAGAGTTTAAATGGGACAACCCATGCATACATAAATTGTACTTAACCTTAATTTTTGAAAATGTTTCAGAAAATTAGCCCTCTTTTAACTTATATAAAAGCTTTGGTACAAACTACAATATTAAAGTTTTCAAGATAATTGTTCTTCTATAGAAAATTAGTCATTAAAGTAAGAAAATTCACAATTTTTATGAAAAAAATTATATTATTTTCAATTTTTGAAAATTTTCCGGAATGTCTTTGTATTTTAAATATTTTTCAGATTAAAATTTTTTAGGAGTATTACATGATTAAAATTAAAAACATTTCCACAATGTTTTTTTTTATAAGTTTTTTACTTTTACTTTAACTACTTTAACAAAAAATTTAGCAAATTCGTATCGATGTGTATTTTTTATGATTGTGATGTTAATCACCGTCAGATATCATCAGTATTTGTGTCAACTATGTCACTTTCCCGCTTTGCTGGATTTTTTATCAATATTATTAGTAGCTATGCTATCATTGATAATACAATTTTAAGAATAATAAAATATATTCTATTGCTGTCAAAATTGTATGCATAAAATATTTATATTTTTAAATTAAACATATAGTATTGATTTAACTTTGGTAGCCATTAAATGGTTATACTCTTTGTGTAATAAAAAATTATAAATTAAATGATAATATAATGTAATTAAAGTAATAAATTTATTGTTTTCTATTATTTTATAATAATTTTGTATATTTTTATGTTCTCAAATTGATAAGCTCATTGAAATTAACAATAAAATTATTATTGGTCCTTCAATTTATATGAATTTTTCAGAAAAAAAAAAAATTACAACGGTGTTTATTTTATAAACTTTTTAAATGGTTGCTTATATATTTCTATGAATTGATACATTTACAACCTGTATATAAAATAGGTATTTTTTTTTTAATTTAACTTGTTAGTGTAACCCTTGATTTATATGATTACTTTTCTAAATTGCTATTTAATAATAAAAAAATGCACACCTATCATAAGTATCAAATATAAAACAACCGATTATTTAAACATTTTAGTAAGCTACCTAATTGTTCAGGTGCCTTTCAAAAAATCATATAATTTAAAAGAACTAATATTTTAAAATATAATTATTTTCTTGTATAATACAGAGTGATTGTTTAACTACGAGTTAAACAGTATCTATAATAATTTTAATATGACATCGTTTTTTCTTTCTTGAAGGTTGGGTTTAACCTACTCAATTACTCATAGAATAAATATGATTAAATTTTTTTTTTTTGGTTATCTATAGTTACAAATTATTCTTGAATTATTATCTATGTAATACTTTTTAAGTTCATAACTATGCCTTGTAAGGGTGTCAACTTTGTTTTTTTAATTGGATCATATATTTTTAATTTAATAAAATGTTTGAGTTTTTAATTTAATAGTAAATGGCTTTTGAATTTTTTTATATAATTTGATTAATTTATAAGATATTAACATTGAAAGTTTCAAATTTTTTAATTATATTTATTGTGTGAGTAATTAAGGTAAATAATATATTTTAATATATTACCGTGAGCCATGATTACATAATCATTCTGTATAAAAGTATAGAGCCATTAATTTATAAAAATACTTTTTTAAATGTAATTTTAATTCGTTCCAGGTATTAATTTTTACCATGTAGTTTGAATTATAGTTATTAAATTATGAATTATGAGCTGTTTATTTATCTTTCATATAAAATATATATTGCAACAAACATGTATACTGCAACTTCTTTCGAAAGAATTTTATTTAGACTTTAGTAATATTAATTTCTTTTAATCTTTTTTGTAGACAAATGATAAAAATAATGGAAAACGCATATGTAATTTATATATTAATGATTTTCGGAAGTTTATTTTCTGTGAGTTGATACGTTTATTAAAAATATGCAATAAATACTAGATACAATCTAATTAAATAAGAAGATTATTAGATTAAATCTAAGAAAAGTATAATATTATTTGTCTAAATATGTTTACATTAATATCATTCATTAAATATTACTGGTTGAGTTTTGAATCTTCATAAACATAACTGTCTAACTTATTGTATAATAGACGACAATAAAAATTCATTCGTTTTTAAAGATGAAAATAAATATATTTTTTATTTTTTAGATGTCTATTCAATTGGATTATGAAAAATATGATTTGTCGGCTGATAATATGGATAAAGCAATACGTAGATTCACCACTTGCTTATCTGACAAAGGTTTTATTCATTTTGTCGAAAATAAAACAACAGGTAATTTTATTTAAAAAATAGGTAATACACTTATGCAAAATATATTTATTTCTAATTTTATTAATGTTTTTCATTGAATATATAGATTTTTATAAACCATTTTATATAAAATATGCAATAATAATAAAAAAAAAAAAAGTTTTTCTTGAATAATTAGAATAATTTAATAAATATATTAATGATATCATCGTTAGTATATTTATTAAAATTTTATGGTATTGCAATAATTGCAATACCATTAAAAAAAAATTATTGTTTTATAATCTCTGGAGAACTTTACATTTTAAATTTAATATTTTATTAGTTTTGTCAGTTAATTGTTGAAATAAACTACATAGAATACAACACATATTAATACTTTATTCTAACAGTTACACAAATTTAAAGGGTTTGGAATGGATCAACAATTTAGATCAAATCTAACTGTTATTAGAGTAAAGTTAGTTCTAAATTTTGAAGAAAAAGATAAATTAATAAATGAAATTAATGATTACATTTGCAATCAGCTTCACCCAATTACTGAACTGCTAGTATATGACAATTTGGATGGATGCAAAAATGTAATAAATAAATGTGGTGAAATATTTTGTGAATACTTATTTAAACCAAAAAAACCTCAATCAAATGTAAGTTAAATAAATAGACAGCAATGAGAAAGTACGATACATAATTAAAAAAACATTAAGTATTGAAAAATCTTTTTTTATGTTTTTTATTATTTGTCTTTAATAAAAAAAAATTGCTTTTCTTCATTTTCAAAATTACAAATATCTTCATATTCGCACATTTAATGACGCAATTATGAAAATTTTATGACAAGTTCTTGAGTTTAAACATATATACAGGGTGATTTTTTTATCATAACCCACTTAAATATTTACAGAATTAAAGTAGTTTAAACATTTATTTATTTTTTTTTTCAATATTTAATTACGTGTGTTGTATTTATATACAGGGTGGCCCACCACTCACTGACAACTTAAATAACTTTTGATCCAGTTAATATTTTTAGCTGATTTTTTTTTTAAATAATAGTTATACGTTAGATCTATAGCTATATCTCAATAATTAATTTTTTTACATTTTATTAAAAATATTAATTATTTTTAAATTTTAAATAAAATGTAAAAAAAAAATCTAAGATAGCTATTTTGTAGAGTAGAATTTAAGAAAAATTTTAGTAAAAAAATATCTTA